AGATTGCATGGCAGTAATTTCTGGAAAATTGAAACAATTTTATGAGATGGTAGGGGGGGGGGGGATACACCATGTGAATCAATGAGTCTCATTATTATATGCTATGCTTTAATATAATAAGCATGGTATATAAACAATATATGTAACCACAAACGAACCAATCAGACCATTGTCACCAACGAATAAGTCTATGCAACAATACACATGAAAATACATCCAGATATCTAGATGACAATTATTTTCAATTTGGACTAAAAGAGTCCTTTTCAGTTTTTCCCTTTTCTTACATGAATCAACGAAAAGGTTCGTGGGCTATCTTTTAACCGCTTAGCTTTGCTCGTGGATGATTATAATAATAATTGTCATGAAATTTGGGTAATTAACTATATGAAATCAATTAGTTTTGAGGTAGGCACATATAGGTAACGGAATGGACGACCTTGTAATGTCATTGATTATTATACAAGATATACGAAGAATAGAACAGCCCGCTAGTATTCGACCCTGTCTTACGACGATACACGGGAATGTAATCGATATTCTAGTCGTCTGCGGGATGACAAGATATAGGTCACTATGTCGCGTTATTTGGTATCCACTCGCTTGCCCAGCGAAATAGGATTTTGCGCCGCATTTATTTACATTTTGAATGTCCATTTGTTGGATTGAAATTTATCCGCTTTCATAATGGACACACACCTATACACACGCACCCGCATAGACACACACAGAAACCCAACGCCCACTTGGACAGTGATATTCTATCGGACAACGCATTCTGTGACAAAATTATTCACTATGTTTGGAGAATGAGAGAGAGGGGGAGAGAGAAAGAGAGAGAGAGAGAGAGAGCGCGGAAGCGGATGGATAAATGGAGAGAAGAGAAGAGAGGGGCTGTAGATAAACACAAAATGGGTTAGATATGAAAACATAAAACATACAGAGAAAAGAAGAAAGAAGAGCGGGAGAGAGGGAAGAGAGAGAGAAAGAAAGAGAGAGGGGGGGGGGGAGGTGGGAGGGAGAGATGGAGAGAGAAAAGGAATAGAGACAAATTGAGAGAGAGAGAGAGAGAGAGAGAGAGAGAGAAAGGGAGGGAGAGAGAGAGAGAGAGAGAGAATAAGATATATATATATATATATATACATAGAGAGAGAGAGAGCGAGAGAGAGAGAGAGAGTTTATAAATAAAATGTTATGCTAAAATGCTAAAATATTAAAATACTGGGTTCTATTTCGTCATGAATGATGTAAACATTATTATTGTGATGAAAAATATACTACCTATATACTTTATCTTAGAATTAACTCTCTAAAATGTTTTCATATTTGACTGATATCTCAATCGAATTTCATTTGCTTTTATAGTTGGACACCAATCATAATGACAATCGGTTTAAATCAATGATCAGATTAAAATTCTGCGTGTGTACGTTTTCGCCTGGAGATCATTTTAGGGCCATTTAGAGGTGTTATTATTGTTTATGGGTGCCGGATGTTTAGCGAGACTGTCTCTTGAATAATTCAAAGCACTATCGTGTCTGCAATGTGGTTGGTTTGTGGTAGGAGCACTAGGAGGCTGGTTTGGGAGTTCTGTCCGACTGTTCTAACATCATTTTTTTTAAAATTTTTTTTTTTTGGGGGGGGGGGGGGTGGTTTCACAAAGATCATAAGTTGAACTTATCTCTAAGTTGGACTTAACAATTATGGAAAGCCGTTAGCATCTTTGAAAATATTTTGTAAAAAGTTATTTTAAAAATCATAAAATGTTGATTCGAATCATTCATATTTTTGTATTATCAAGGAGATGTCATGTTCTTGATGAGGAATTTATAAAAAGTCTAAAATACTTGAATCTTCGTTTTTTAATATATTTTATTTTAAGGCTGCAGATGGCTCCCCCTATTTTTTAAAGTCCAACTTAGAGTTAAGTTTGACTAAGGATCTTTGTGAAACAACCCCTAGTTTCTATTCTCATGTTGAGGCTCGTTTAGATATGACGAGGTTAGACGTAGTGTATAATTAATACCGCCGCCGCCGCCGCAAAAAAACAAAAACAAAAAACAACAACACTTGTTTTCGACGTGTAATTAAATAGCAACGGTGCGGAACAAAGGTCTTGAATGAATTCATTGAGCTCTGGTTATAAGATACAGAAACTTCCAAGCGGGAAAGTAAATACAATACAAAACAAAAATATGAAAGGACGTAATGTTTGACATTACGGCTTCGATATTGTAAAGTCTTAAGTTTCAATATTCCAAATTGCCCTAAAAGCCTTTCTCGGTCGCTACGCTCGCTCGCAAGCAATTTTTGTTTGTTAATGTTACTATACAAAAAGTTCCCTGTGTCGTCGAAATACTGTGTTTTTCTTCTTTGCTCATTTTTTGGACAACTGGTACTGGAATGCTAAATTACTCTGTTTTAAAATCATATTACTTCTTTAAAAAATGTACCTTGTTTGTTTGTACAAATACCTCTTATTAGGAGGCGTATTAGTTCCTCAGTGGTAGAACAGTGGTCCCTTAACAGGCAGGTCCCGGGTTCGAAACCAAGTCGAGCCGTTAGTACCCTTTGGTAAGGCATTAATTCGCATTACCAAGTCCCTCGGAGAGGACTTGAATCTGTCGGTCCCCTGGTTGCTTAAATGCAAGCCTACGCTTTTTCAGCAGTCAAGCAAAACATACAAATAAACCAACCAAACTATTATTGCTATCGTGATTAAAAAAAAAAGACTCAGAGGACATGCCTTCCTTAGATGACGGGGATTTAAATGGATATCCCGAACGTAAAAACTTGTAATTGACACTCATGTTTAAAGAATATTAGCAACATCCAGGGGGCTAAAGCGGGGGCTTAGCAGCCCAACGCAACGAGTCATGAGCCGTACTTTAAGGTGTTATCATGACCACGTTACTGTGTAGCATTAGTGTATTGCCTGCATACTCACTCATCTCAAATAATGTGTAGCTGCGACCTGAAGAAAACAAAAATGCAAAGCTGACATTTTGAAAGGTCTTTAAGATAATTCCTGTCCTATTTATCGCCTTGTCCTCTACATGGAAATCGGCTTATCAATCTGGGTTGGCAATCGTATAAACCAAGCCTCAAGACTCTAATCATACCTTGGGATTCAAACCTTGGACGTGGGTTTCAAGTTATACATAACTTATTCCCCCCTCTGCAACTATGAAGATGAATTATGTTCTATATTTGATATGTTATTAAAAAAAAAATTATTTATGAATTTGTCTGAATATGAAAGGCTCTGTCCAGCTACAGAAGAACATTGACAGTTGCATAATTAACTGGGGTCAAATAATATATCTCTCCTAGATAACGATGATTTCTTAAGATTTGTCTGAAACAGACTCATTGTGATTGCTGAGGAATCGACACAGTCCGGGGTGTATCCAGCATAGGTTTAAGACGCCCTATGCCCCCCCCCCCCACTTGAATTTCTTTAAAACAACACGGAGAATTGCTATTGATGATGGGGCGGTAAAAGTAACTAAAATCACTCTTAAGGCTAGTTCAGACATGACGGGGTTCACCACCATGAGAAAAAAGAGAGAAAAGTGTAAATTATTGACGACTGCGCTAAAAATAGGACTTGCACGCATTTACCTAGCCATGTGTTATATGATTCAGAAATTTGAATCGTAATTACGTCATCATAAAACATATTTTTAACACGCAGCAGTTTCGCTGCGTCAAATATTAACGAGCATCAATAAATTGGAGAGCGACCTTTAAAAAAAACAAATCTGAAAAAATAGGATATATCTAATTAGCTCCCACATCATTTGAAGTTAAAAGAAAACAGATAAAGAGTAGATGATAAATGCATTCAGGCTGAAACATCAAACCTTGAAGAGATAATTAATGAATGAACAATTCTTTTGAACGCCAACCAATTAATTACTTCCGAAATTGCACAGTAACCTATACATTGGGAAAGAATGATTATTCCGGAAATTAATTGGGTTTTCTGAGTGAGAATCGATGTGCACAAATCGCTTTTTAGAAAATAATTGTCGTCATTTCCGTTCTACTTCATAACAACTAGATAGCTACATTTTTATCGGAAAGTGAAGCTATAAAGTGCCACAAATCTGTTGTTGGAACTAGAATTAGATACGAGTGACCGTCCGAATATTTTGTCACAAGTGAGTTGAAGGCATAGAGATATACACTTAAGTTAGTAGTATATATCTCTATGGTTGAAGGTCATCTACAGATATGACAAGAAATCATAAAGATCCGATCTGTTTTGTTTTGATGTTGATTAATGTACTATTACTAGAATACTAGTTTCTTTTCTATGTAAAAGGTTATATCATGTTTTGTATGGTTTTAAATCAAAAATAAAATGAACTTGACTTGAACTTGAGATAGGTCGTTATGATCAATTATGATATTACATATCTATGTGCTCCCTTTTGACTTTGGGTATTATTACCCTGGCTCTTAGGTATGTCCACTATCAGAGCTTTAAACAAAAATACATTTCATTTTCTCTGGTAAGGAAAGAATATTGAAGCTGAATATATTCCCATATGAGGTAACGGGCACATTAACAATAAAGTGTGAAATAAAGCGACTCTAAACCTGGGCTCAAGATTTATGGCTTAATACTTCGCTACGGGTAATTAAATTCCAGTAAATTAGGTTTTGGGGAATTGGATTTCGTCCAAAGAAATCCCGTTCGGTTTTATTCAACTATCAAGATTGCCTTGCAATTTATTCAAACACCATAATGAAGTATCGGTCTCGGCTAATCCAGATGAAAATAAACTTGCTATTTGATTCCATAATCAATTTGATATTTTGAAACCAAAAGCTTATTAGTGTCGACTGCTGCTGAATTTAGAATTTTAAAATCCTCGAGTGTGGTTTGTAATATGAGGCCTATGTGTGAGGAAAGGAGGGTACATAGCCCCGGGAGTCAAGGCTGCTAGGATGCTGGGGTCTTGGAGGGGCGCAAGAGGTGTGCCGGAGACCTGTGGCAGGGATGCTGGAGAGGGGAGGGGAGCTCCTGAGATGCCGGAGAGGTTCTGGTGGGGTGCTGGAGGGATGATGTAGGGGTGCTGAAGAGGTGCGACAGGCATTTTTGTGTGGATGTTAAAGCAACCGTATTTTAAAAGCGAAAAGACCACCCCGTCTAAATCGAAGAAAAACAAATTATACAGAAACAAATAAGGCCCTGTTATGAATCGTCAGACAATTTTGGAGTGAAAAACGAATACCTTTGGTGCAAACCTGTAATGCATAAAAGACTAATCCATTGTCTATGAGTACTTATCTTCTTAGTTCCGTACCGTGATCACATATCATGCTCAAGACTTAACATTGTCTTTCACATCTAAACTTATTATAATTATTTAAGCTTGACTGACTAGCTTGTAAGGTTAGTTATGATTGTCACGGTTATGCTTTAAATTTGATACTGCTTTGGAAAAAAAACCTAATTAAGCAAATGAATAAATAAATAACGTATTATATGAGTTAAAGAATAAATGAAAACATAAAAAATAGTTACATTTTAATAGCCTAAATATAGTTTGCAATGTATTATTTGTGTGTTATTTATGCAATATTTACTCCAGCATTGTGTACTAGTAGGGGAGACGAGTATATTATCATTCTTTCAACGTGAAATCCTTCTCTATTCGATTATCCAGCATATCTAACTTTCGCCCTCAGCATCCCAGCCCACCTCCTGGATGCTCCATCTTTCATTCCATCAATCTATATTGGGCTATTAGTATGTAACGTGATATAGTTCACTACCATGCATAGTTCACGTAATTTGGAAACCAACACCAAGTTTGGTTCATTTTTATACGTGACCCTTGATCGGGTTCAGAAGCTGAAGTATTATTCAAACTCCTCCTCATCGACCGGTTCCATTTCATTGGTTGGCCCTAGTCTCTAGGCACAGACACTTTGACAATATACCACAATTGTTAGAGCCTCGAGCAGAGCCTAGCTCCTAGTCCCTGGCTCTGTGCTCTGGCTTTGTTTTATAGTTGGGAGCAGTACATAGCCCATTGGGTGCAGTAGACGGTGCAATATGCGTAGTCTCATAGTTTCGACACTTTGTTACGCAAAAATATTAATACGGTTTGTTCATGCAAACTGTAGGTTGACCCGGTCATAGTAATACTATGAATAAGTTTAGAACTCTACATAATGGCAAAAAAAGTACACCTGACCTTAATATCGTGACCGCATTGCACTTTGAAACCAGGCATGTCGCCATAGAACATGGAGCCTAATATAGAGGAGAATATGCTACCCTGATCTTTAAGAAAGTTTATTCCATATATTTTTGATACGTGACAAATCTTTATACTAATATAATCCCCTGTTTGAAGAAAAAAATTAACGTGTAATTTGTTTTTATTCCTTGCTGATTATTACTAGGTCTTATTTGCATATTAGAAAGTTACTTTGATGTTAGTATTTGGTAAATATAAATATACATTCTGTATATACATTTCATCAAACAGTGATGTCAGTTCAATTCAATTTCATTTCTTTTTACATTCTTAAGCAATGTGAACGCATGGGCCATGTAACAACACTAAAATCAACGGGTCAATGCAGGACCAACATTTTCTAAGTTATTACTTACATGGCGACTGGGCGTAATTATATTGATGATCAGATAAGATTGAATAAGATCATAGCGATACTAACAGGCAACTCTTGCTGAAATGGCTCATCCACTCCATTATGTTGGAAATGAATATAGAGAGAGTTTTTCATAAACCCAAAATATCTGAACACTATACTTTATTCACTGAAGACCAATACAGGATAAAGTACTACAAAGTTTAAATGACTGCAGCCATTATATTGATAGATCAAGGGCCCGTTTCACAAAGCCTTTTTTCAATGACAAATTACAAACTTCAGCGACAAATCTGCTGTTAACCAATCAGAAGAAAGGATTTCAGTAGCTTATAACACAAACTGTCATTTGTCACTGATGACAAGTTTTGTGAAACGCCCCCAGATCAGAATCAAGTTGATGATGATAACACTGGTGAAGATGAAACGCATTTCCAGGCGCCAACAGCTTCGAACTTCTTTCCGAGACGCCGAAGGAATAACAGCCCAAAATAATTTCCCACTATTCCAAAATGATCTAAAGTAGATTTTATATGAAATATTTTCGACGTCTTTGGTTTCTTGGGGTGCCATTTCTTGTACTCGTCATACCCTCAAACCATCCTGACATTTCCTTTGTATTTACTCGTCAGTGAACTGTCCATCGCGAGACTTGTAAAGTGGTCATTTAGCCCTAGGCGTGTTTGATAATCTACATTGTCCATTCTCCTGTCCCAAACTAATTCCCCCAGTTCTCGAGGCATGTCTGATTTCGGAGTGTAGTCTACTGATTAATGGTAACACTTTAGGGCCCTGTTTCATAAAATTTGTTATCAATAACAAGTTACAAGCTACTGTTATAAGCTACTGAAATCATGGCATCTGATTGGCTGAAAGCAAATTTGTCAAAGAAATTGAGCAGTTGTTGGAGAAAACAAGTTTTATGAAACGAGCCCCTGATGTGAGATGAGAAAGTCTAAAGGGGGCAGGATGGGATGAAAGATTGCAAAAATGCTGTCGAGTTCGAGGTAAACAGATGCAAATGATTTCTCCTTCGCGATATCTTCACGTAAATGTAGGCGTCTATATTGTCATCTTATACCGAGATATTTTGAACATATTTGACAGTGTACGTATTCTTTTGTTTGTTTGTTTTACCCGACTGCTAAGAAAGCATGACTGTGTATGCTTGTAAGAAAGCAACCGGTGACCAACGCCTTTAGATTGTCTCTGAGAGATTAGGAAATGGAAAAATTACTTACAAAATGGCACTAGCGCACGACCTAGTTTCGAACCAGAGACCTCCCGATTAAACTCCACTGCTTTTTACCACTGAATAACGGAGATGGTTCAGTTTATGCTGCTACTATTCTTGTAGAGTAGGCCTACGCAACTATACCTGTTGGATGGGCTGAGACGAAAATCTATAGGTAAAATTGTCAGAAACACGAAGCAAGGATTCAAACACGTATCCTCACCAGTCAGTAAACCAATTTACCATAGTTTGTCCTGAGCAGGTCCTCTATGTGACCCTTTAACCTTGACAATTCAGACAAACAACTCAGAATAACAGTGTTCACTCGGTTAAACGGGTCAGTCTGAAGAGCGTAAAAGGCAGGATGAAATATGTACCCTCACTGAAGTACCTTCTAAAAGCCTTTGTCTGCCAAGTGTCTTCTCACATTACGTAGTCCTCTTCTCAACTCAAGGTCGAAATTATGGAGGCCTGTCGTCACGAAGGCTAAAATGACAAGAATCGTTCGACCATCGTACTCACTACTTTCACATCTAACATAGATCAGACCGGTACCCTGTTTCACAAACTTTGATATCAATAACAAGTTACAAGCTACTGTAATAAGCTACTGATATCATGGCATCTGATTGGCTGAGAGCAAATTTGTCATAGAAATTTAGCATTTATTATAGATAACAAGTTTCATGAAACGGGCCCCAGATTGCCAGGGATAATGACATGGATATACTAAGATTATTTTAACACTATTGGTTAAAAACAGGTCACATGACCAATGAAAAATTGCCTATCAAGGCAGTTGTATGTAAAGTAAACAACTATTCTGTAATAGATTTTTTGTATTCAAGCCACGAAGACATTTCAGCAAAGAGTCAAAGGGCGCGTTTATTGGGTCTTGCCACTAGATATGTACATATCGTACCGTACTATCATACCCCACTATCGAACCCCACTATACGAAAGTGGTTTGCGGGATGTCGCATTTATCGTCTCTTCACGGTTCAAAATAAAGGCCTTGTGTCTGCGCAGCTGTTTTGACCCGGGAAGCAGACAGTTTCTCAGAGGTGAACTATACACACATGCTTGTACACAGCACATGGCGCGCGCTAGCCTCCGAACCCTTAACCTGGGTGGTCCGATTTGTATGTGGGGTTCAAAACTGTATGTCACATTCAAAACACACTTTTTTTCGTCTTTAGACCTTTAAAAAAAGGCTTTGCGTTTATCACCTTCTAAATTTGCCTGAAAGGCGTTTGAGAAACCTGATTCTAGCCAAAAATTTGGTCAATAAACACAACCAAAGACGGATGTTTCACACAACTTTACTTGTGTATAAAATAATTATGGAACTGGGAATCACAGGCCTTCCCACAAACAGCAACGAATAGTTTTAAATCATACGTCACTGCAAGTTTACTAGCGTATTACCAGGCGCCAAAGCGAGCAATAACCTTACACACGACGATTTTCGAAAACTCAACTGAGGGCCATTTGCAATACCCCGGTGTATGTTCCATATAAATCATGTTTGGACTATATACGTTAGCGTTTCTGCCCTGTTGGCACATTTCCAGTTGTGACACACAAGGATATTTGATTTTTTCGAAAGTAATTCTGATATACTTGGCAAACTATTCTCACCATAATTATTACGAAGATCTCATGGGCTTGCTGAGGTGCTCCCTCGCCTCTATAGTCATTAATTATTTGATTTGATTTGATTTGATTTGATTTATTATTTTCTGCATCCGTTTTTTTTAAAATCAAACATTTGCATGAAAATAATATTGTTTGATTCAATATTTTAAGTGTATATAATTTCATACAGATATTAAACGAAATTAAACAAATATATTGAATGCATAATCAACATACATTAGATGCAGGAGGGCTACATAAATATGCAAAGTAGCTTGACGTGCCCGCCGCCCTCAACTTAGATACAACAATAAAAATATAAATAAAAAAGAGTGTGACTTGCAGAGAAGAAAAGGAAAGGGGCGTTGGTAATAATACAATAAATATCATACATCTGCTGATTGAATGCAGGTTCATTCATGAATGATTGTGTATTTCATCAACGCGCCTGGATCTATAGCAGAACCATCACACTATAAGAATACAGGTTAACAGTCTTATTAGTAATTTTACAGAAACACTTCTCAAAGTATGACTGAATGATCGATAATTGTAGAGATTACGATAAGCATAACTAATCTTGTTCCGAAGTGGCAAACA